TAAGTTTCTAAAGTGTAATTTGTTAAAAAAGGTCATTAATAATTTTATTGGCATACCCAGTTTGTCTTGTGATTACTATAAAATAGTAATCACCGTAACCTGTCCTTGATCAATGAATGCATTGTAATATACATGCATTAAGGAAAATTATGTAATGTACTTTACATTGTTTGGTTTTGGTGATAGTTGTTTTAGTATTTAACAAGTTATATTATTTTTGTGGGAAATATCACTTTTACCCTTCCTTACTTTTATGAGAACATATATATATAACTAGGGGTATACTTGGGGAAAAAAAGGAACCCAATAATCTCGTTCGAACTATCTCAACAATCTCAAGTTTTAGTAGAGATATTACTTTCACTCATTTTGAGTGGTAGTTTCCATCCAATCAACAAACAATGGTTGTATTGTTTAGGTAAATAAACCCAAAAACAATGCACACATTGTAACAATCTCACCTAAACTATCACCAAAACCAAACGACCCCGTCACTAGGGATGTGAATGGGTCGGGTTGGGCGAGTTATATGCCAAACCCAAACCCATGGGTTTATCCACCAAAAAACTCGGGGTAAAATCCACTGGATTGGGAAAACTCAAACCCAAGCCAACCCGCTGGGTATCCGGGGTTCATGGGTACTCATGGGCTCATGTACAAAGATGTAATTACACTAGATTTCACTACTATTGTCTACTACATACACGCTAACTCACAAATTATCATACTAATTGTTCAATATTAAAGATAAACATACACAAACAATATGATTAATTGAACGTGTGAGAAATAAGTTTAAAAATTATAGTTAATTAGTTAAGGGTTTTGTGGGTCGTGGGGGTATGAACTTGGGTGCAGGTATTCACGGGTTGGATATGGCTAAACCCAAACCCAACCTACAAAAAGTATAACGGGTTTAAACTCGAACCCGACTGACAATCTGTTAAATAGGATTTTACCCTCTTTGACTGGTTTGGGTCGGGTAGGTTACCCACAGATTCAGATTCAACTGTCATCCCTAGTCACTAAGGGGTTACTTTAGTGATTTCACTAAGCCCATACGGATTCTTAAATTTCTTAGTTGACATCTTAGGGTTGTGGTTGTTGTGTTTTCTTAATAATATTGAGTGATAGGAGTTGTGAATTTTACAATCAAGGATAATTTGGGTATAAAAAATCATATTAATTACTTTTTGTATTAATTATACTTTTGAAATTAAAAATTCCTATTAAACACATTGTTCTTTTTAAATTTAAATTCCACAATAAATACATTTCTCTCATAACTCTCCCTTCCTTTTCCAGCAACCACTTCAATCCGACCGACTTTCTCTAGTGAAATCCTTCTGTTAGACTCCTTCCGGCCACCTGCAAAAAGTAACACCCCGTTAAAAAACTTACCACTCCATCAGTCTCGTCATAGTGATTTTCGTAGAGTGGTACGGAGATGGAGCTCCTTGGCAGTTACGGTTTTTTCTTAGAGATGGGGTGAGAGGGGATGAGGAGGACGACGAAGGGAATGGAGAGATAAGGGGTGTAACACCTTAGGCAAATCCCACATCGACAAAGCACAGGAGAGATACATGGTTTATAAGTAGAAAACTGTTCTTAACTGACGAGATGTGTTTTGGGGTGAAATGGAGGAGTTCTTGTGAGAACTCCAAAGTTAAACGTGCTCATTGTGGAGTACAACAATGATGGGTGACCTTATGGGAAGTCATCTTGAATTGCACCCCAAGTCGAAAATCGTGCGTGTGTAGAGGCCCAAAGCGGACAGTATCTTGTCGGGAAAAGGTTTGGTATGTTACAAGGGCTTTGAGTTTTTATTTTATTTTTGTTAAGAAAAAGGGATTCTATGGAAAATGGGAAAGGAATCCATGTAGTAAGTTTTTCGTTTGAAAATTGCCTTTAGAGTTTAGATCAATATGTACCACTAATTTGAAAATACGAAGAAAGAAAAGAGAATGGAAGGCTAATAAATGGGTTGCCATTTTCGCAACCCTTAAAAGGAGGAATTCTTTGGTGATCCCGGCTCACCACGTAAGTCATCCCATGTGGTGCTCCCCCACAATTAATAAATTGACACCTGGAAAATTGATTAGTATGGACGGAAATACTTTGATTTTAATTTTGTTTTTATTTTAATTTTTAATTTAAAAATAATACTAATACTTTAATTATCCTTAATCACATATTAACCATTAACTTTTCAATAACTAACAAAACATTGTCTATGTTTGGCCCGGATTTTAGAAGTGTTTTTCGACTTCAAAAGTTGAATCAGGGCTAAATACCTCTAAAAGCTCGGCTTTTGAAAAGCTGAAAAGCGTATTTATATAACATAAAAGCAAAAGCTCCGATTTGGAGCTTCTACGAAAAATTATTTTGAAGATACAAGATTATCCTTACTATATTTTAATATTATTTAAAAAATATAATTTTATTTCATTTATATTATTATAAAAATAAAATAGATTATAAAATCATATTAATTAAAATAAAATAAATCTAAAAAGATCCATATTGACTACTTTTATTTTAAAATTTTTATTCATATTTTAAATTATAAATCATTTATGGTCATTTTACATAACCTAGAGATGGCAAAAATATCCGTAATCGTGGATATCCGCTCGAATTTGACCTTGTCAGATAGGGTAAAACCCGAACCCGAAAAACTTTTATTAAAAAAAAAACTTCTCTAAAAATTCCAGTGAGAAGCTGCTTTTACAAAAGTTACATCAAGGCCAAACTACCTATTAACTTTTGGTTTTTGGCTTTCTAATTAGCTTTCGGTTTTGCTAGTTAATTTACCATGTTAAATTAGGGAGTAAGTAGTTAATTTTCTAATTTGACATGGAGCTTAATTAGTTAATTAATTTACTTTTGTTTTGAGCAATGTAATAGTTGTGTAACTTTGATTTGGACAATTATTAGCATTTACTACTATGTCTACGATTTTATAAATTAGGGATTTACAGTTATTTCTAATATTGTTGTTTAACTTCATCGGAAAAAAAAAATATTGTTGTTAATGAGACACCGGTATTTTATAGACCTCGCAATTGGGTTGGGTTGAGGCCTCAAGTTACGGGTCAGGTCATGTTCGGTTGGCTGATTTCGTGTCAAATAATGACCCAACCCATTAGGTTTCGGGTCGGGTTACAAATTATTTCGGGTCATGAGTGCTCTCAGAACCAATATAAAACATGCTTCATATTTTTTAAAAGAACACAAATATTCACATATGCATGACAATAGTTTACTTAACATATGTCAATTGTCAATTAACATATTCTCAAATCCTTCATGCTAATGAAATGAAATACAAATTGCAAAAATCAAACCTCTTTGAGGGTAGGATACAATGCCTACCCTAAAAGGGATTTGATTTTTGACACCTCTTTCTCATTGGTCCATTTTTTTCTCAATCATTTGATAAGTATTAATGAAAGTGACATGCTAAATCGATATTGTTGACATAATAAATACTCTAATAATGACAATTTCTATTAATAAAAAACTCTTCATTATCTAATACAAAACCCTCCCTATAACTCTAGTCGTCTTCCTCTCCGTTCCCTCCTCTCATCTTGTTGCCGCCGTTTACTCTCATCATCTCCCCTCCATGCAACCACCACCTCTGCCTCTCCTTCTTTGCCGGCTGCCGCCGCAATCCACCACTACCCCTACGCCACTCCTCCACTCTTCCCGACCACCACGTCACCAGTCCTCTCCCTGCTGCCGCCCATTGTCCTACTCGCCGTCACCACCATCCCTCTTGCCGCTGTCCTCCTCCAGCGCACCCACCACCATTCTCCTCTCTCTAATCGTCGTCGTCCTACCGTCACCATCCTCCGGCGTCGCTGCCACCATCCCCCGCCGTGCGTCGCCTCCTCTTCCATGTTCCTCTCCTGATGAGTTTTCCATTTCCAGATCTGACTTTTCGATTTTCAATTATGATTTTTGTACCAATGCACTTAAACTCATATATGATATTTGTACCAGTGCACTGGTATAGCGATACCACTGCACTGGTACAAATGTCATATCTGCGCTTAAATTGCAGTGGTAACGCAACCAGTGCACTGGTATTAATATCATATCTGATTTTAAGTATAGTGGTACAACATATCAGTGTACTAGTACATTTTTTTAATGTAGTGGTTCATTTTTGCAGGTGGCCGGATGGAGCCTGTCGGCAAAATTTCACCAGAAAAGTGTGGCGGTCGGAGGAAGCCTGGCGGTAGGAGGATGCTGGAAAAGGAATAATCAAAGATAGGGAGAGAGAATTATATTTAGTGTAGATTTAAATTTATAAAAAAGTAAGTAATTAAGATGATGTATTTAATTCCAATGTGTATTTAATATGATTGTTAAATTCTATAAGTTGCATTTCATATGTGTCATTTTTCCAACTCTTATGGGTTAGCAAGCTACCAAACCTAAAGAGTAATACAAATACAAGAAACACATGATATTTGATTATACTTAAACTTCAAATATGTCTTTCAAATTCCTATGAATTTTTTCTAAATATCTCACCAATTTATTAGTGTTATTATTATTTTGGGAGTGAAATATGAAATATAACAAGTCTATTATTTTGGGAGTGAAATATGAAATATAACAGATCTACCAGATCGACCCACTAATCCATCCAATCCAGCCCAAAAATCACAGACTAATCGCAAAAGAGTCATTCAATTTTCGGATTATAAAAACTTCTATTTTTCGGGCAACTTCAAGTCATATCAACAGATCTAGTTTTTTAACAATTCAATACCAACTAAATCAGTAAAGTATGAACCGCATGGTATATTGGTTCATACAACATTGCACCTAACAAACGAAGCAAATCAATAGTGAGGTAACATTGACAAACAAGTTAAAAAGATTTGCCTGCAATTCATGTGGATACCTGTAGTTAAGTAACGCTGCTATACTGAAATCTTGTTCTATTCGAATTAATGGTGAAAAATAAACTGCATATATTAAATAATACCCCACTCTCAGTTTTCAGCCGCTTTCCAAGGATGTGCCAAAGAGCAGTGAGCTCTGCACGCCCGCCTTCACAGCCCAAAAATACTATGCAATTGATTTGCGGGCCACGAAGTCACTTTTCAACATCTAATCTTTGTCTTCCGCATCTAAATGACTAAATCTACTCCCTCGAACTTCAACTTCGCATATGCAACGCAAGAAAGCAGCTCATCTGATGGAAAAAGCACCACCTGCAGGAAAAGGGAAAGCTCCCTTGTGAGAAACGAATCCCGCCAGAGCAAAATCCAGAGAACATACATGGCCAGGACTCCGTCTGTATTCCCAAGTTAAAGAGACCTACCTACATCTGAAGATTAGCACCCCTGGCAAGAACCAGAAGAATCACAAGCCTCATGGTTTGGACTTCAAACCCAGGCCCGACTCCACCTTCTTGATCTCAAAGATGAGCATCCTCCACATTTTGAGCACAAACATCTCGGCCTCGTCGTCTAGTATGGACTGAAGCATCTCCAGCATTTGTGCAGCCTTAACATGCTCCCTTGTACTTGACACAATGTAGTCCACTAGTGTGGTTTCTTCCTCTCCCAGAAACTCCGTTATCTTCTTTGAAATCCATGGTCTCATTCTATCATGCAGCGAGTGCTGCAAAACAAGTGAAAAGAAAGACCATAAAATAAAAACATCTTTTCAAGCTCCGTAAGTGAAAAAGCTGCCGTACCAAGAATCATTAGCTCCACATTGACCACATGGGTGCTATGTTTTAATCAAACTTTATGACAAATAGACAGTTAAGGTACACGACAGCTGAAGCAGGGAAGCGTACCTTGTCATAAACGGTCCAATTGATCTCATATGAGAATAACTCATCCTTGGTTTTCGGAATCATATCAATCAGCTGTTTTGCATCTAAAAGCTTCTGTTTATCTGGGGTCTTCACCTTATCTAGACCATGATCCCGGTCTCTGTCGCGTCCACTCTTCTCTCTGTTCTCTTCTCTGGACCGATGATTACTGTCTTCGTCATTTTTGTCCCGCCGACCAGACCTATCATGAGAACGTTGATTTTTGTCCCTTGCAACTTCAGATTTCTCTTCCCGGGGAGCAATATTAGATATCTGCTTTGCATATTCAGCAGCAGCAACTAGATTTGGTGGTTGAGCTCCAGAAGTAATAGGTTGAACGGCTTGCAATTCCTCGGTTGAATAATCTATGGGAACTAGAGGCCTCATTTTTTTATCCTTATGAGGATCGTCATCCTCCTCATGGAAAACTGAAGGTACAGCAGCACGTTTCCCAGACCCAACTAAACCAAACCCCAATTTTCTTGTTGGAGCATTAGCACTCTGGCACTGAGCTTCTGATTCAACCATTGGCACAGTTGAAACTTCACCAGCACCATTCTGCACGCCCTCATCATCTGTAGTGTGAAGTTGCAATTCTGTCACACACACACAAAAAAAAAATGTTGCAACAAATTTCATATTGATCAAACAACCGAAGGGAATCAGTAAAAGAAAATACAAAGCATAAATGTTCTCAGAAGCACCTGTATGATTGGCACTGACAGAGTCACCCTCGTCCCCCTGTTCAATGACTTTATGCGTAGTTTCAATGAACATTCCATCAGACGAAGCAGGCTTCTCGCTACCATTCACAATATCCGCATGTGGAAGTTTCAGCACCTCTTTTTCTTGCTCTAGCAATTTTTCCTCTTCAGCCTTCTTCTTGGCCTCGACAATCTCTTCCTCTTCTTTTAGCCTGTCAGCTAAGTCCTCCTCTTTCTCCCGTTGTCTTTTTTTCCGCCTCTCCTCTATAACACTCCTCCGCCATCTTTTCCCAGAGTCATCATCTTCATCTTCTTCATCGTGAAGAATCTCCTTCTTCCGCTTGCGATCTCTTTCTTTCTCCCTTTCTTTCTCATACTGTCGTTGTTTTTCTTTCTCTCTCTCTCTATATTCCCAATCTCTTAGACGTTCTTCATACTCACGCTCAGCATCTTCCACCTTTCTTCTAAGTTCCCTCTCTTTTCTAATACGTTCTCTTTCTGTTTCCCTCTCATATCTTTCTATCTCTCGTTCTTTTTCACGCTTAAGATCTCGTTCCTTGTCTCTGCCCCTTCTATCATACCTTCTGTTCCTGTCTGGTGAGCTTACCTCAGGCCTTTCATGTTCACTTGCTGCTTTGTAATCACCAATCATCTCGTCATTATTTTTTTCTTCAGCAGCATCATCTGGACAATGGAGAAGAGCAAAATCAATCAAATAAACGCTTTTGCGCAGTGGAACTAAACATTATCTCGTATCATAGAGAAGAACAAGCTTTACACATCCACTCAGAGGACTAACCACTTTTCAATGCATCAGTTTCCGAGTCCCCATCTCTTGATTTGGTTTGCTCGGTATTTGGATTGCCAGAACCATCAATAAGAAGTTGCGGAGGTGGAGGAGGAGGTGGTGGTGGTGGCAGAGGTTTGGTCTTCAGTCTCTCTTCTATCATGTTATAAAGCTTCTCCTGTGCTGCCTTGTCACCTTCTTTATCTTCATTGGTGACAATACCAAAATTGGCCAGATCATGGCCACCTTTGTCCGCTTTTTCATTATCACTTTCCGAAACATCTGGAGAAGACTTCATAGTTCCAGCCTTTTCAGATGACTCAGAAGGTTCAGTCTTCTCTGCGTTATTTGGGGCAACATCCTGCTTGGCTCCCCCTTCTCTGAGATTCTTTGAATTTTCAGTTTTCTTTTCAACATATCTATCTAGATATTCTCGTGTTGCTTGATTAACATTCAACTGCAATTTGCAATCCATAAGTAAAAACAGAAAACAGAGAGTAATATGTACTCGGATAATAAGTGGACAGAAGATCAGCAATCCTTGACCAGAAGTTGCAAAATATAACATACCACGAGTTCTTGTCCATCAATATTAAATTTACTGAGCAGACGTAATGCACGGAGAACACCTTCGGCATTTTCAAATTCACAAAAGCCAAAGCCTCTAGGAGTCCCATCAGAAGGATCCTGAGCACGTTTCCAACTCTTTACAGTTCCACAAGACTTCATGAATTGTTTTCCATATGTCACAGACATCAAATAAATTAAATAAGGATTAAGCTGTGCTGGTGCAAAACCATGACAAGAAACATAGGAAAAAACACAATGGACAAGAAGCATGAAGTCAAAGAAGGCAAAACTTAATCCCAAACCTGAAGAAGAGAAAGCATAAAGTCATTCTCCACAGTTGGTGATATCTTGCCCACATAGACTGTAGTCTGAGGCTTCTCTGCCGGTGTCACGGAAGGTATAACTGGCCTCATAATGGGAGGGATAATAGGACGAACGCCAGGAATACTTGGAACAAGAGGACGAGTCATTGGAAGTATGACTGGTGCACCAGGTGGGCGTGGAGTAAATATTGGACGGATCATAGCTGGGTAAGGTGAAGGATAGCGAGCCATTCCTGCATAAGATAAAATCACAGCTACGCCAACATATTAGAGAAGCTCCAACAACACAAGATGGCAAGAACTGTACATCCCCACCACAATTTATGCATAAGTACTATTAAGAGCAATAAATGTGGTTACCACACAATCAAATCACACTAGAGATGGTACCATAGGCATAAAGTATCACCAGCTGAACAGATAACCTGAGGCAAACATCAAGAAGAGTAGGATCGGATTCATAAACGCAGATATGTTAAATGGGCTTCACTTACCTCGGTCACGCATCCACTTGCTATTGGCAGGCTTTTCAAATTACCCCATGCACCAAATTGCAGATTTTTGCCATTGAGTAGCATGAGATTTTCAATGTCTGACTCACACAAGCTATGGATGACCAGTCCTAGACTACCATGTTAAAGCTATTTTAACTTATCCATTCTGTTAGTTGTCCAAAATTAAGATTTAAGACACGCTGGCAAAAACAAGGAGCAGGAAGAGAAAGAAAAAGACTGAAATCGAAGGATTGGTCAATACCTTAAGAGCAAAATGCCAAGGAGCACTCAGTTGCTAACATGGTCTGCTGCTGGCAATTCATAAACCCACGAAAGGGAAAGAATCCTTATAACTACCAGAAAGATGCCCACTAAAATAGACATGGCACAACCAGAGAGTTTAGAACGAAATGGATTGCGCTTTAAGTCTTTGCTCAGTGAATTCCATATGATGTTTCGTTAACGCAATAAAACAGTAACCCTCGTTTGCAGCATCAGAACATATTCATTATTCTAAATGCAGTCAAAAGGAGCTAAGCAGAGCATACCAAAACAGGGTTGTAGAAGAAGGTGATAGTCTCTTAAGCAATATCAATGAAGCCCTTCCAACCGTAATCAATCAAGACACTGTACGAGAAAACATCAGGGTCATCGATGCCCTTTTTCCCCCAAAATCCCCCTAATAACCTCATGTAAACACAAACTTTCAGATATCATTCCTCGTTAATTTAACGCCAATGACATCCAAGTTCCTCGGCACACAGATTACCATAATAAGGTAAACCAGGACCTGATCAATATGTATAGAGAGGAAGAGAGATACAATGTAGGGAATGAAGGGCAGAACAAGAATAACCCACCAGGAGGGGGCATGATTCCTTGAGGAGTAGCTCCAGGCACAGGCGGATACCCGTTAGGTAATGTAGCATAAGGCGGTCTCAGAATCGGCTGACCAGGTGGAGCCTGGTAATGAGGCATCGCCGGCGGACCCGCGCTAACTCCTGGGGGCTGAACACCAATCGCACTCTGATTTTGGTAATTCGGAAGCGGAGCAAACTGCGGAATCGGACGAAACGAGGGCGCCACTGGCGGCATAGCCGCGCCAGACATTGGATGCGGCGGTGGAAGACCGTAGGCGGAAGGGAAGGCCGGCGGCGGAGGAGGAACCAGAGTATTGGTGGAATTTGTAGTAGGGCTGGGGTTGGGGTTAGGGTTAGGATTGGGCGGGGGAGCGATTGAGGATTGTGGTTGCTGTGGTGGCGCCGGAGATGGGGCGGGAGCTGGATCCGATTGAGGAATGGCGTTTCCGGGTTCCGAAGGAGGAGGATTAGAGCCCGGCGCGGCGGCCGATGCCGAGGGAGGAGGCTCGGCCATGGATGAAGCTAACGAGGGACCAAAGAGGAACTGATTTAGAGCTTTGCCGCGTTGTGTTTTGTTTTGCGATTCTGTCACCTGTCCTCGGCCTGGATCGAAGTGAAAAGGGTTTAAGTGTGATGGAGTTTGTGATGGATTTGGGTCTTAAATCCAACTCCTCATGGACTTGGGGAAAAAGCCATTGTTTGTTTGTGTCATTTAGGGGAATCAAATCCATGGGGGCCACAGACTTTTGGGAGCCAAATCCGTGGACCCCACGGAGTTCCAAGTTCCAGCTCCATAGATGGGATTTCGGTGATGGCTGGAAGTCCATGATGGCCTTTTACTTCCATATCCTCACATAACCTATTATTGCCAAGTTTAACCCTGAAACCCTTTTTCCCCCAAATTCGACAGACAAAGAGAGAGTGGTGGCTGGGCAGCGGGAGAAGGACGAAGCAATCATGTCTTGTGTCGTCCACCAATCGCGAAGTGCACAGGCTGCAGGAGAAAGAGGACACGAGCAGAACACAATCGAAGATATCGCCATCACTGGTTTATTACTTCGTCGCTGCAACTCAGGTGTGTGAATTTCTCCTTTTGTTTCTCATCTATGTCTGTCTTTCATGGTGAACCCTAGAATGAAAGTTATGTTCCTTTCTTGCTCTTGCTTATGAAAGCTCTGTTTTTTCCAATTCTCCATATTTTCGACAATCCAAATCTCACACAGAAGCTGATAGACCGTCCTTTTTTGTTTTTTCTCCTGCGTTTCTTCCTGATTTAGCATACAGAGAAACTGATATTAATTTAATAAGGGATTGAGGGGATTTGATGTCATTGATTAATTCATAAACGATAGAAGCATGTGTTGATGTCATTGCTTGTGGTCATATTTTGTTTTAGCATACCGAGAAGTTGTTCAGGTAGACATTTTGAGTTGGTTTGTGATTGAATTTATTATTGTGAATTGGAACTTTGATGAGCGTTCTGTTAATATTCCCTTTTTTAGTGGATAATCCCTCTTTCTTTGCTGCAGATTATGGACCAAGCTCATGTTGTTATATGCTTGCGGGAGGAACTCTGCAACCTATTGAAGAGGCAGCAGAGAGACTCTTCCCATGGCTACCATATGATCAGTTGTATTTCTTTTCCTGTGGTCTTACTATCCCTCCTCCGAGCATTTTCCCATTGCAGTTTCTCATAGCCCTTCTGGCTAGTGGCTAGTCTTTCTATTCCACAAGAAGCTCGTAAAATGAGTTGAAGACTATTGATTGCTTTCGTAAACATATATGATATTGTAAATCAAGTTGATGATGTACTAATTAGGAAGATTAGTCTATTGTATAGTCAACTGTTGAACTCATTTGGTATATATCATAATAAGTTAAACTTTCTCTCTCAGTTATGTTCATTGTTATAGATCTTATTCCATGCTTTATTGCATCTAAAATATAAAGGGCAATAAGGTCAATTGTAGTTCACACCCATAAATCCAATTAAGTAAAATCCATCATGAAATTCAATAGACAAACAATGGTTTGTTTCAAATCCATAATGAGCCAATTCCATCGTAAATCCATGGTTTTATAAAACCCAGGTTTTAACCAAAACCTTCATTTTTCAAATCCATGAAGCAAACGACCCGTAGATGCACTAATCTAGAGGGTTACTATTTGCCGCTCGGGTAATTACTATTTGTTGCCCGTAAAAAACATTAAAAAGATAATTTTGCCCTCCAAATATTTTTTTATATTTTATTCGCTGAAATGGTTTTTTAAACAACTTACACACTACCCGAGTCCCGACCACCAACCCCCCACAAACACCACAGCTAGATTCACGGCCACTGGACGGCAGCCAAAGTCGCCGGCCATCGGACCAATCTCGTCATCATAATTCGCCTGCACTGGACGGCAGTCGTACCTCATCGTCGGACCAGCGAAGCAGGTAAACCCCACTGACCTCCTGGATTTTTTTGCCCGTCTGCTCGCCGGAGGCGGACCCCGTTCGCTCGCAGTCGTCGGACCCCGTTCGTTCGCCGGAGGCAGACCCTGTCCGACGCCGGCGAGCGGACGGATCGGGGTCGGCAGTGTTATATTTTATTATTTAATTTGAGACAGGTTATTATTTCTAGAGCTAATAATTTATATTTAATTTATTGCTTTTATTTCTATTTTACATAGTTAAATTCATATGTAGTTTGAATTAAGCGATTGTATTTTTTTGTAGCGCTAATTAGTTTCTTACTGTCAAATTATCGTTATCTTGTAGAGTTAATTAAATTATTGCATTTAATTTAATTTTGTAGAGTCAATTGAAGCACAATTAGTTTAATTAAGCGATTGTGTTTTGTTGTAGCGCTAATTAATTTATTCTGTTTAGATATAATTCGTAGAGCTAAAGAAGTTTAATAATTTATATTTAAATAATTTTCTTATCGTCAAATTATCATTATTTTTTAGAGTTAATTAAATTATTGCATTTAGTTTAATTTTGTAGAGTCCATTGAAGCACAATTAGTTTAATTAAGTGATTGTGTTTTGTTGTAGCGCAAATTAGTTTATTGTGTTTAGATTTAATTCGTAGAGCTAATTTGGTTCAATAATTTATATTTAAATTATCATTATTTTGTAGACTTAATTAAATTATTGCATTTAGTTTAATTTTGTAGAATCATATAATTTGTACATTTTTAACGAGTTGTAAAATCATAATTGCAGGTGGACATGGCTGACAATGTTGAACTAATTGGTGATTACACAGACCATTTTCTCAATCACGTCCGATATGTCAATTTCGAAGATGCTGTAACAGTTAGGGGTGGGCATCCGGTTCGGTAAACCCGAACCGAACCGGACCGAACCCGAACAAAACCGAACCGAAACCGAACTAATATTGTTCGGTTCGGAATTCGGAAAGGAAACTTACATATTTCGGAAACCAGGACAGTCCAACCGAACCCGAATTCCGAACCTCCGAACCGAGAAACCGAAATTCTGTTGCCCACCACTTACTTAAGCCCAAAACCCCACAACCCACTCTCCCCAAGCCCAAACTCTTCTCCCCCAAACGGCCAAACCCTCTCCCCAGCCCAGGCCCCCACAACTGACAACCCACATGATCCTAAGGCCTAAGCCCAATCCCATATCAAACCCTACCCCATACAACCCTAAGCCCAATCCCATCTCTATCCCTATCCTACACACAGCAGCCGCCATCAACAATGAACATTGAACAATAGCCAAATGCAAATCTCATCTCCATGAACCGTCGCGTCGCCAAATCTCATCTCCTATCCGACGCCGCAAGCAACCAATGAATCACAGCTTCGCCCTCGTCGATGCCCTCGTCGCCGATCGATCTCACCTTTTGCATGCGGGATTAGTGGCATTGGCGGCAGAGAATCGTATGAACTTGGAGTAATCGGCGCCGTCGGTGGATTCGAAGACGGAAGAGAGACAGAGCAGATCCGCCGTGTTCTCTGTTCTGAGATGGGTTGTCGTGTCGTCTGCGGCGGCGACACCATATCCCAGACCCGCGTTGGACAGGGGAGAAGGAAGAGGAGGAGGTGAGAGGTGAATTTATGGAGGCGGATTTATGGAGAAGTTGGGTGAAAGATCAGGGTTGGAAGAAAAGCAGATTTGAAGGAGATGGAGGGAGTGGTTTGACGAGCAGAGGAAGGTAGAACTGTAGAAGGATGTTTGTTGGTAGAGAGAGAGGAAGATTTGAGGAAAAATGACGAAGAGAGTGTAAAGAAAAAAGGAAGGGTCTGGAATTTCGGGTTTGGTCGGGATCCCGAACCGAACCGGAATATAACTCGGTTCGGCTAAGCCGAACCGAATTATATTTCGGTTCGATTTCGGTTTCATAGGCAGGGTGTTCGGTAGACCCGGTATACTCAATTTCGGTTCGGTTTTGACCGAACCGAACCGATGCCCACCCCTAGTAACAGTGACCAAAAATATCGCGATGTCTCTTGGTTTCTTTCTAACTAAGGGATCGATGAAGCCCCGTGAGTTGAGCAACAAAAGAGTATTGGGTATCTGTTACATGTATTGCGACAGATGCAGTAGGGAGAGGAAGTCATACAAGCCGGATCCTTCCAAGGAGAGTCGTGGCAATACAAGTTCAAAAGGAGCGGGATGCATGTTCAAGATTAAAATCAAAGAACTACTGGTTAATCCAGATGCTCTTGATGGACCTTCATTCTGGGAGATACAAGGAGTGACAGAGCAAGGAACCGGTTTAAGGCGAGGGTATCACAGTCATGAGAAGATGCTTTATCCCGAGGGCCACAGTCAAATGAATAAATTGAGTCAGGAGGATAAAGAATCTCTGAGGCAGATGAGAGATGTTGGGGTACCTCCGTCGCAACAGAAGCAGACAATAAACATGCAGAAGGGTGACAAAGGGCATCACACCCAAAGGCAGATGTATAACCTCGGGTCCAATTCTAGGAAAGACAAGATGGGCGAGATGAATGCAGTGCAGTATGCGTTGCTAGCAGCTGAACGTGAGAATTATCATACATAGGTTATGAAGGACGATGACGACGTGCTGACACATCTTTTTTTTGCCCATCCAACTTCCATCCAGATGTTGAAGGCTTGGCCGTACGTGATTCTGATCGACTCAACGTATAAGACCAATGCATATAAATGGCCGTGGGTGGAGGTCGTAGGTGCTACTCCAGTTGGGAAGAATTTCAACATCTGTTGTGCTCTCATGAAGGATGAGACAAAAGAGTCGTATCTGTGGCTGTTGCAGTGCATACAACAATTGCTCCATCCACGCGTGCCCACTGTCATCGTCACCGACCACGAAGGTGGACTACTTGCTACGGTTCCTGTGGTCTTCCCCTGCACCCCGCATTTGCTATGTGTTTGGCACATCAACACCAATGTGCAGAAGAAGTGTTTGGAAATATTTGGGAAGGACAGGATGGATTTGGTCAACGAGGCGTACGACCAATATTGGTATCCTATGCTTTATTCTTGGTCAGAGCAAGGTATGTTGGCCGCGTTTGGCCGCTTTAGGACAAGATGGGGCAATCAAGAACCACGTCTGTTGCAATACATACAGGGAGTGTGGTGGCAACATCGAGAAAAGTGGGTTGTTTGTCATACCAAAAATGTGTTTCATCTAGGAAATACGAGCACAAACAGGGTTGAGTCGTCACATTCCGCTTTGAAGACTTTCCTCCATAACTCGCGGGGATCTATGGACACTGTATGGAAAGGAAACCACCGCTACATTACTAACCAACTCGGGGAGGTTAGGATGATGTTGGAAAACTCTAGACAGAAAACCCTTTCAGCATCCGGTGGTACACCATTCACATACTTGAGAAGAAAGGTCAGCATGCAGGCAATTATATTAATGAAGGAGGCTGAAGAAGGATTGGCTGCACGCTTGGAAAAAATGAGAACTCCCGATGTGCATGTCATTTCTCTGTGACACACGGCTTGAGGTGTGGATGTCAAGTTATGGATGGCAGAGCGCGAGACATAGAGATATATCCCGGTGATATTCATATATATTGGCGGACACTGTCATACGAGCATCCACCCAATGCTCAGGAGTACGTTCCCCAGGAGGAGGAGGCTAGATCTCACCTTCAGGAGTTGGTTGACGAGGCTGTACGCAGAGGACCAGAGGCAACGAAAAAAGCAGCAAAGAACGTGTTTCGCGGTCTCCACCCGGCGGAGGACAACATTCACGAGCCAGAAGTGAACGAATTTAGAAAGGGACGCCCAGCCAAAAAATCAACTGGAAGAACTAAAGGGTGGTGGGAAAAGATACTGCGAGGCAAGAAGAAAAGCATGAAAAAGAAGTCAGGAAGCACAACGTCGGGGTCTACAAAGTCGACCAGTACCAAGTCCACGGGGACTCAGACAGATGAGTACCCGTCAGACGACCATGCAGCGGAGGAGTGTGATGATCCAGAAGAAAGCAACAAATACAACTGTCCTGACACAGGTACAATTTAAATTTTTCATAAGTGTAGTTATTTATATTAATATTTTACATCGCATTTGTGCTGATTATCTATTTCCTTCACAGATATCCCTGGACCCAGCAGCCCCCATTCTGATTACGCACACATGGAACTGCTTCCTGTCTTCATTCGGCCGCTTGTCATTGCCATCCACGACCTGGTGCCAGACGGTCATTGTGGGTTTCGTGCACTTAGTTTTGCACTATATGGTAATCAAGAAGGGTTCCCAGAGGTGAGGCGACGACTTGCTGAAGAAATGCGTGAGCACGATTGGCGATACGCACCCATCTATGGTGTTGATATCAATGACGCAATCAGACGCAATCAGACGCATTGACATCACCACTACAGCACCAACGACTCAACATCATTGGATGATGGGTGTGGATCTATTCGTATTTGCCACACTATTTAATTTGGCTGTTGTCATGTACAGCTCTTACCTCCACCCAACTCCATGTGCGTACTACTCTACCATTCTGCCAGTGGACAACATATATGGGGAAACCCACCCTAGAGGAGTCATTGTTCTGCATTTCGTCCAGGATCATTGGATCAACCTCTCTTTCCCGGCGAACAAGATACTGATGCCCCCTCCACATGGCATGTGGTTAGGCGGTCACCAAGAAAGCGTGGATGGATGGGAGACATATTTCGCGCCGTTTAGTCAAATGTGGTTCGATCTTGGGGGTGCGACGAATATCTTTTCATCACGCAAAAAGAGGGGTTCAAAGAAATAAACTTGTACTCGTCTTCAATTTAAATAAATTGTAATGAACGTCTTCAATTTAAATAAATTGTAATGAAGTTTGTTTACGTCACATGGAAGCATGATATAATAAAAACATCCGAAGTACAACATAAACCACATAAGTCATAATCAGATACAACAAATAACATAAGTCATAGTCCCAAAACAACAAATAAGCAACTGAACACCACATAACATAAGTCGTAGTAGAACAACAGAATAACATAAGTCAACTCGTCTAAAAACAACAAACACTCCTCATACATATGACATAATAATCATACAACTACTGTGGAGGTGGTAGAAAACCCGACTTCCTCCTAAACTCGGGCAACATGTTCCCAACTCCATGACATAAGTCGTAGTACTCGTTGGCGCTAGCCATCCACTCCTCCCTACTACCCTGTGCAGCATCCATCACGGGAGATATCTCAATCCACATCTCGCGTGACAACTGTAATAAAAAACCATACAGTTTAAAAACATATTAGTTACAATCAATTTTTTTTTTAACTTAATACAAATAATTTAAAATATGATTGTACTAACCGTATCAGCATCCGAGATGTCGTGAACAGGTCGGCTGTCACTCAGTATCTGTGGGTGCGAGTGCCTAATGTACCACACCATGTAATCCTCAGCAAACTCCCATGGCCTACGTCGTATCGGAGTAGAAAAAAGGTCCAGATGCACACTATGCGCCCCCAAGTTGTTCCAATACGAATCATAGACAGACTGGTAGCTAAGAGAGTATCCAAGCGTGGAAGCAGGTCGACGCACAACAAGCGGACGCTCCGGTGGATACGGTGCACCCTGCACGTAGCCTAACTGTCGGAGGCACCTAGTGGGATCATAATATTCTGCTATCTCTGCAAATCTGAGCAGGCCCTGATACCAAGGTACGTCTCACCGTCAGATGAGGACGCTGACCATACGGGGTCCAACTAACTGACTGAGGGGTCAAACTATCAATCGCCTGCCGATAATAAGCCAGCATCTGTGCATCCCTCTTCTTACTCGACCGGGGTGCTGTACCGCGCCACCTGAATGCTCATGCCTGTCCCCGCTCCAGCTCTCGTGGCTCCAACCGACTAGGCCTCAAAGTATGAAAGTGGTCGTAAATCCAACACTGTAGTAAAGTCAGACAACCCGCCACTCCCTTAGCCTCCGCCTGGGAGGCAATACCAAGCTGCCTGTACAGATAATCAAGTGCTCCTGCCCCCCACGCATACTCTCCTAGCATATCCGGCCTCTTCACAAACAAGTTGACAACAGCAGAAACGCGGTCCTTACTCTTATCTACGAACAGTGTGGACCCAAGCAGCAAAAGAAGGTAACACTGAGCCTCTCTAGCTGGCGGCCCAGACTGCTGCAAATGAATCAAAGCTCCCACACCCAACAAACCAAATCCTCTATACCACCTAGACAAACTAGCAACCTCGCCAACCTGCGCCCCGTACTCATCCTCGTCACGATCTAATCCCAGTAGTGCTCGGATGTCAGCCTCCAGTGCACACTTCTCCAACTGCCTCGGATCCACTACCATCGCCTCTCCGTCAACCGTAAGCCCAAGAATGTGTGCCACGTCGTGAAGGAGGATCGTCATCTCTCCAAAAGGCGTGTGGAAGGTGTTAGTATCCGGCTGCCACCTCTCCACAAATGTCGAGATGAGAGCAGGGTCCAACTCGCTCTGGAAGGTGATATCAACGAGGTGAGCAAGGCCCGATGTCTCTACGGTAGTCCTAGCGTTATCATCTGCTATCCGATAACCGCCGAGAACGTGGCAAAGGGTCGAACTCCTGTCGTAGCAAGTGATCACCCCTCTATCAGCCTCTCCCGAGTACAGACGGTGGGCAACATGCCCAAGAAAGCTACGGAGCAAACTCGGGTCGCTCGGCCCTCCAGGACACGGTCCTCTAGGCTCCCAGGCCTCTCCTACATCAGCAGTACCACTCTGGCCCTCACCAGGCTGTGGAGCTCTATAGAAACGCCCCGCATGGTCTCTATAGATCCCAGTAACGACATGTGACGATCCGCTGGGGGCACCTCTGTCTCTGATCGGACTGACTCGTGGAATCCGATACTCAACAGCATCCGACTCATACTCCTCCGACTCGTCGTCAATCTCGTCTGAAGGCTCAAACGGTGAAGTATGATGATCAATACTGGGACCAGCTCCACTACCACCCATACTAGGCAACTGAAAATCAAACTGAGGGAAACCGTCTGCCCTATATCTCATCGGTGTCACCTGTGGCTGTGGCTCATCTCTATCATTTGGGTCCTTATTTCTCACACTAGCGCTAATGTTACGCCCAATGAATCTTTTCAATCTCTTTCCTGGTCCTCCAGAACTACGTGATCCTCCAGAATTACCAGATGACGCCATCTCTAAACATAGACAATAATTTTCTATTAATATCTTATAATAAATTATTTGTTGAGCAATTACTTGTTTTTTCATAGAGTAATTATGATACATACAATTTATTTCGTTTGATTTTACTTAATTTAAATATATAGTTATTTTACTTAATACGATAGGTAGTTATTTAAATATTTATTTCAATTTACTCAATTACTTAACTAAAACATCATAGATAATTATTTAAAATTAACAATTATTTACAATTTATTTAATCCAATAATTCTTTAGATATTTATTATAATAAATGATCTATTAGCATAGTCCATAATTATCTATTAATCTCTTATAATAAATTATTTGATTAGCAATTTGTTCATATTCATAATTTATCAATTACTAATTATGATATATACAACTTGATTATCTAATTAATTTAACTAGATAGTTACTTTACGATATATAGTTATTTAAATAATTATTTCAACTTACCCAATTAATAAACTAACACATTATATAATTATCAATTATATACTAATTATTCAACTATCAATATTAAACTAATTAAGATACTAACAATTTTATTTAAAATAAATGTAATAAATATTAATTTAAATCGAACCCGAAACCCAATCAGATCGGTCCGACCAGACCGGGCGGACGGGGTCCGACTAGACCGGGCGGACGGGGTCCGCTCCGACCTTGCGGACCGCGTCCGCTCCGGCCTGGCGGACCGCGTCCGCTCCGGCGTGTCGGACGGCGGCGAGACTGTATTAAAAAAAAAATACCTCGACGCCGACGACTGGAACAGCTGCGGCCGCGGCTTCTCCTGGACGGCGACTGCTTCTCCTGGGCGGTGGCGACCGAGATCGTCGGTGGCAGGGGCGTCGACTGCTTCTCTCCTGGCGGCGGCGTCGAGCAGAGGAGGAGGAGGTGTCGGCGAGCAGAGGAGGGGGAAGGCAGCGGCGGCGAGCGGAGGGGGAAGGCGGCGATCTCGGCGGCGGCAGGAAGGGGGAGGGTGGGGGTCGGTGGGCAGGAGGGGGTGGGGTGGGGGTGGGGGGAGGGGGAGGGGGAGGAGGTGGATAGATAGGGTTAGGGGGCAGGGGCAAATTTGTCTTTTCTGTCCTAATTATGGGCGGCAAATAGTAAAACGACGGGCGACAAATAGCGATTCAGCTAATCTATCTATGCTATATATATTAGCTTTCTTGACCAACAAAATCTCCACGTTTTATATTGTCAAGAAGTTTTCAGGTGCATAAAAAAAATGTTCGAAACTTCTACCTAAATGAAGATTATTTGGCTTATGAAAGATTTGTAACCCTTAAAACTCAATCCAACACTAACATACGGTTTGGTATATAAATGAATTACACAAACTTTCATAAATTTATTTTGAAATGAAATCTTTTTGTATTTGGTATTTAAAAGAATTCAATTTCAATATCCTACGAAATTGAAACTAGTTATAGCAATTTCAATGAATTGAGATAGAATTTCCAAATGCATTCCACAAATATTTACTAATTATATTAGAATGACATAATTATCCTCATTTACTAATTAAACTAATTCTACATATATTATTCAGCGCCAATTCATGCAGTATGAGGAACGTCGACAAGAATTTGATAGCAATGCTAGTAGCATATGTTGGTTACTTGATATTTCTGTTTCGACTGTATCAATACATTGAGAAGTCACAACTAGAGTGTATGGTTCATCGATGAAATATTAGAAAAGAACTAATGAATAGAATAGTATCACACAAGGGCACTTTTGATATTTTACGTATGAGACCAAATGCGTTTTCCAAAAGATGGATTTTCAATGAATATTGTTTATGTCGGAAATTTATAAGTGTGTAGTTGAAATTTTTTATTTAATTCAATTCTAAACATATGCCAAACATTTTTTGAGAATTCAATGCATTTTATTTCTAAAGATTTGAATATGACATACCAAATACAGGAATTCATTTGACAATGAATTCTACAAGGTAAGTCATTTTAAAATAAAATGAATTCTCGATTCATATTATTCAAAATCATAAAAAAATATTATATAGCTATTTATAATTTCAAGTGAATAATCAAAATGAAAAGCATCAAAATAATATAATAGTTGCTTAAATTTTGATAAAATGCAATTTGTTTTGCATATGGCTAGTCTTTTCGTAAACATTTACTGAAATAAGCTAAATCTGTCATTCACTGTAAGCTAAAGCATCCATAATTACTTCTAGAATTGTGAGAAGACAACGCGAACCATATTTTGGTTAAATTAAAGTCTAAATTTTCAGTTGAAAAATACATAAGGTAACTAGGTAAGTAAGATCACGAGAGAAATATGACAAAATATCCTAATTTTCTCACCAATATATTTGTATATGCCAAAATTGCATTTTGGATACGAACACTTAGGACAATAGTTGTAACATGAATGAATTGGATCGGGTATCTCCAAGTTGAGAGTGAACCAAAATCTGCACTCAACCCAAAAGAAATGGATTCCACAAAATAAAAGCACCACCCAACCTTAAACCTTGTTTTCAGTAAGAAATATGTGTAGGTTAAGTCACGTTGGATAGGTGGGTCGGATTGCGGTTTTTTTTTTCTTCACCCTTAACTAGACACGTCCATAAGTTCTACCACACCTCTAATACTGGACTTTTATCTGAATTCAACCCCTTCCTTTTCCACTGGCACTGCCCACATTGAGAAATCCAATTTCACCATTGCCACTTACTAAGCCAATTCCAACTATTCATGCATCCCCTCCCAGAGCTACCACCACTTCAAAATAAAATTTAAGAAATTTTAAAAAATTGATAATTTTTGGCTAATTTATGAAATTTATCATTTTCAAATTATCCAAAAAAAATTGTTTTATTTTTGGTTAATTTGATAATGATAAATAACAAAATTTAGGAAAATAATTTGAATTTTTAATAAATTTTAGGATGACGATGCAATGACATGGCGTGTTGACTGACGGTCAACCGTGTTGATCGTCCAAATTGACGGTCAAATCATGTGTCAGACCAATTAAGTCTATATGTTGCATAGTTGAGGCCAAGATGTTAATTTCTAAAACTACGGGCCAACGTTGATTATATGGTTATAGTTTAGGTCAAAATAAGGTATTAACCCTTAATTATAACTCAAGTACCAAAGGACCAAAAAAGTTTGCAGGCCGAGTTCAGAACTGGAACCGTAGTAGAGAGAAGAAGAACACCATGGAGAATTTACCCGAGCCTGTTGTCAGTGGCGGACCCAGGATTGTCGGAGAGGTGTGTCGCCGATAAAATAAAATAATAATTAAATTAAAAATTAAGTTAAAATTAAAAGAAATTAATTCATAAAGTTCATAATGTCATGTTTACAACGAACCGCGACGACTTTTCATCTGCTGAAATGTCTCTAAAATACATTCATCAATTAAGCTGCAAAGCAAATCTTTTTCAGTATACACAACTAAACAATCATTCATAAATTGGTCACTCAACCGATTTCGAAGATCATTCTTGATTATCTTCATAGTTGAAAATGCTCTTTCACAGCTTGCAGTTGCCACAGATAAGGTCAACACCAACTTTAACAGCAAGTAAACTAAAGGATAAAGAGTGTCCTTTCTCCTTTCCACCAATTTCCTAGCTAGCTCGTCGATACCTCGAAATCCATCAAAGCTCTTATCCTCCTTGACATGAGAAATGTAGCCCCCCAATTGTTGATGAAGTCGTGAGAGCACATTGGATGGAAACTCCTCGGAATAAAACTCAGTAAGACTTATCAACTTTGCTTTATCAAAAGAAGCAAAAGAGTTAGCTGGACTAAAACAAGAAATGCAGTCCAACAATTGAGTGTTCACCTCACCAAATCGAGTATTCAATTCTTGCAGCTGCAAATCTATAACTGCATAGAATAAATCGACTTGATAGTAATGTATATTGTATGGGCTAAGAGTGTTTTTTTAACAGGAAGGATAGGATTATGCTTTATGAGTTATTTTAAACAAAATTAAAAAGGATTATGATTAAGATTGATTCATTTGGATAATAATTTCTTCGAGTATAATGAAGGTGTGTCGGCTATAATTATTGAGGGTGTGTCGGCTATCCCGAAGTAAAAAAATTTGTACCAAAAATATGTAGGTCCTTCGTAAAATTCTCGAGCGAGGGT